ATGGAACTGGAAAAGGACCCGTGGCTATTTGATCTTGCGGCCACTCCCAGCCCAAGACCTAGCGAGATAAATTGGAGGAGGAAGTATTCCCCCAAGAGGAACATATTTGCAATGCATATAGCTTGCAAAGGATTCGTAGCCAAAATATATAAAGAGCGCCTACAAATCAATAAGACGGTCAACGGAATTTACAGAATAATAGGAGACTCGGAAAGTTAATAAAAGAGGATTTCAAAATGGCCAACGAGGTGCCCATCATCATGAGTCATCAGAGAAATGCAAATAAAGCCACAACGAGATTCTATAACACGCCCACCGGAATGGCTAAAATGAAAAAAGACTGATACCAAGTGTTGGCAAGGATGTGGAAGATACTGGAACTTTCATACGCTGCTGGTGAGAATGTAAAATGGAACAGCCACTTTGGAAGACTGTTGGGCAGTATCTCCTCAAACTGACCAGCAATCTCATCCCTGGGTATTTATTTAAAAAAAAAAAAAAAAGTGAACCTGTCTCCTGTCTGTGTTCACCAAAAGACACATACGAGAATCTTCCTAGCAGCTTTGTTCACAATAACCAAACACAGCAAACTACTTAAATACCCGCCAGCAGTAAAAATAAATAAGCAAATTGTGGTACATTCCCACGATGGAATACTACGCAGCAAAGAAAAAGAGTGGACTAATAATGTAATGACAGGAATGATTCTCACAGGCTGGATGTCCCGTGAAAGACACTAACCACAAGAGAGAACACACCACGTGTGGTTCCGTTTCTATGAAGTTCAAGGATAGGCAAAACTAATCTATGAAGAAAGAGTCAGATTGGAGCATATTGACTGGGAAAGCGCATCTGGGAACTTTCTGGAGGGACAGGCATGTTCTCTTTGATTTCGTGGATACACACGCATACATGTGTGTAAAAGTTCATTGAGATAGAATTTAAGATCCGTGCACTTCACCTTATGCAAGTTATACCTCATTTAAAAAAAGAAAAAGAGAGAGAGAGAGAGAGAGAGAAAAGAGACCGTCCCCAGAGCTGTGTGTGATCCATATGCTTTGTGAATCCTGGCGCCTTCCTCCTTGGAGGTTTCACTACAGTCTTCCAGGCTGGACAAAGTTGGAAATTGTGAAAAGCTGCCCCAGATTCAGGAGGGAAGTTCCCCGGTGTCCCTAGGATGAGGAGGGTTGACAGCCTCCCCTGGCCTTGGGGCGTGGGCAGTTCGGTGTGAGGGCAAGGGGTTGATCTTGAAGTTTCTTTCCTGCCCCCTCTCCCCCCTCCGGCCCAGGCTGCGGTCCCAGCTGACTCCTGTGCCCACGACTGCTAGTGACTTGGGTTGCCATGGCAATGGGGCTTCCAGGCACCCCTGGGAAGCTACTGGTCCGCCTCATTGCCTCATCTTATGGGGAGCTGCTCTGCCCCCTTAAAAACATGAAATGAGAGCAAAGTGAGGGAGGACCCCCCCCCCTCATTCTCTGCTCGTGGAGGAGGTCCTTCTGCCACAAGCTTTGCCCCAAACCCCTGCTTTGGAGAGGAGCAACGGAGTGGCACCCAGCAGTGGCTGCAGATGGAGAGGGGTTGGCGCCGGCCCCGGGTTATGCCAGCCTGCCCAGGTTCTGCAAAAGACGAAGAACACTGTCTTCTTCCAGCCCCAACTTTTCTCATTTGTTCATTCTTTTTTATTCTGCAGGAGGCATGAGGTGACATAGCTAAAAGGAGCACTGCATTTGGTAGCCTTACTGTGTGGCCTTGGCTTAGTATTTATTTATTTATTTATTTATTTATTTATTTATTTATTTATTTTTGAGACAGGGACCTGCTCTGTCTCCCAGGCTGGAGTGCAGTGGCATCATCATAGCTCTCTGCAGCCTCGAACTCCTGGGCTCAAGCGAGCCTCCTGCCTCAGCCTCCCCAGTGGCTGGGACTACAGACGTGCACCAACATGCTTGGCTGATTTTTAAATTTTTTGTAGAGACAGGGTCTTGCTATGTTGCTCAGGCTGGTCTCGAATTACTGGCCTCAAATGATCCTCCCACCTTGGCCTCCCAAAGTGCTGGGATTACAGGTATGAGCCACTGCAACATTTCTTAACCTGTTTCCCCTTTTACAAAATTGAGATAGTAATAGTTCCTACTTTATGGTGTTATTGTGTTATTGTGAGGAGTAAAACGGATTAATACACACAAAGGGCCTAAAACAACTTCTGGCATATAGTGGTTGTGCAATAAATCTATTTTTTTTTATGTGCCAGGTCACATGTCCATCACCTTTGATGTGTAATATCATATGTAACCCTCACAGCAGCCTGTGAGATAGCCAGGATCATACCCATTTCATAGATTAGGTAACTGAGGCTTGTCCTCAGAGATTAGAGCAATCTATGGTGTCCCAGAAGTCCTGGACCCTTGAACTACCCCAGCCTCAGCTCAGCTGTAAACTGGGCTGCTAGCTCCAACCTGAGGGTGTAGAGAGGAACTGCCTGGACCTGCCCTCCACCCTCTTTCTCCCTGCTTTATGTGAATATTAAGAATATTACAACTACTTTAGGGCTAGAGTCCTCACCAGTCATGGTGGCTTAGTGTTTCCTGACCTCTATCTTTTACTTTCCACAGAGGTTGCAGGAAATCCTTCCTCTCTTGGGGCTAAAAACTCCCATACATTACAGAGGAACCCTCTTGACTCCCATCCCAGCTCCCTCCTTAGAGGCCCCACTGTTGAATGTTTGGAGCATATCCTTACAGGCCTTTTTCTGAACGTTTACATAAACCTATTCCCACTTATATGTATACACAGTATTGATTTGCGGGATATCTTAATTTGGGTTCCCCCAAAGGCAGAGACCCTGAGACAAGGATTTGGGGGCAAGTTATTGGCCTGGGAGGTAATCCCAGGGAGCAGCCATTAAGGATGCTGGGAAGTCAAAAAGGAATGAATGGCAGGTGGCGACTTTCAAAGATGGCCGCCCCTGATATTTGTCCTATCACACAGGTTCTTCTTGCAAAGTGCTGATGCTCCTCCCATGGGAGGCGGGGCCTGTGTTCCTGCCCCTTGAATCTGGGTGGGGCTTGTGGCGGCCCCAACCAATGGAGTATTAAGGAGGTGATTCTGGGAGGCATTGGAGGCTGGGTCATAAAAGGTGGCTGTCACCTGGCCTATCTCTTTCTCTCTTCAATTCGTGCCCTGGGAACCCAGCCACCATGTTGTGAGGAAGCCCAGGCCACATCAGGGTCCATATGTGGGTGTTCCAGCCCCAGCTGGGTCCCCAGCCGACAGCCACCATCGGCCACCAGTTATGCAAGGCGCAAGTTGACCCGTTTCATGACTTCAGCCCCCACTTTTGGGGCTTCCAGCTGATGTCTCAGACATTGGGGAGCAGAGATAAGCTGTTCCCCTTGTACCCTGTCTGAATTCCTGACTCAGAGAAACATGAGAGATAATAAATAATCATCGGTTTAAGCCACTGAGTCCTGGGTAATTTGTTAAGCAGGATTAGGTAATTAATACAACAGGGAACGGAAGGAATATTAATGAGCGGAGAGGGCATTCCTGAGCATGTGACCACTGGGGGCACCTGAGACTCAGTCCTGCCAGGGACCTCTGGGAGACTGTGTAGCTCATGCATTTCTGAGCTGTCCCCACGAGGTGAAGAACTTGGGGAACATCCGCCAGCTCCCCCTCCTTGGAGGCTGGAGGCTGCTCAGGCAGGGGCAGTAACTGCCTCACGGCTCCCCCAAAGCTCCCCGCTAAGGGTGCTGCTGCCCGGGCTGGGGTGCGGTTCCCTGCACGGGCTCAAGTGATTCTCTTGCCTCCGCCTCCTGGGATTGCGGGTGTGAGCCACCGCGCCTGGCTATATTCTTCAACATTTTTAACATAGTTTGTATCATACCACACACCATGTTTGGAAACTTGCTTTCATTATTGTCTTCCTTTCCTGAGGCCACCGCAACACAGCACCGCGATCTGGGTGGCTTAAAACAGCAGAAATTTATTCTCCCACGGTTCTGGAAGCCATAAGTCTGAAATCAAGGTAGCCCCAGGCAGGGCCAGAGTCCCCCTGAAAACTCGGGGACACAGAATCCTTTCTCATCTCTTTCAGCTTCCGGTGGCTTCTGGGATCCTTTGGCCATCTCAAATCTCCTTGTCTTTTCTTTTCTAAGGACACCGGTTATGGGACTTAGGGCCCACCCTAAAATCCAACATGAAATCTTTAACTCCATTCCATCCGCAAAGACCCAGCTTCCAGGCCGGGCGCAGTGGCTCAGGCCTGTAATCCCAGCACTCTGGGAGGCCAAGGCAGGAGGATTGCTCGAGGTCAGGAGTTCGAAACCAGCCTGAGCAAGAGCGAGACCCCGTCTCTACTATAAATAGAAAGAAATTAATTGGCCAACTAATATATATATATAATTAGCCGGATATAATATATATATAAAAATGTATATATAATTTAAAAATATATAAAAATAAATAAATTTTATTTATATAAATAAATAAATTTATTTATATGATTACTATTAGTTTATATTATTAAAAATATTTTATTTATAGCCGGCATGCTGCGCATGCCTGTAGTCCCAGCTACTCGGGAGGCTGAGCAGAGGATTGCTTGAGCCCAGGAGATTGAGGTTGCTGTGAGCTAGGCTGATGCCACGGCACTCACTCTAGCCTGGGCAACTGGGCAAGCGAGACTCTGTCTCAAAAAAAAAAAAAAAAAAAGACCCAGCTTCCAAATCAAGCCACCTTCCTGGGTACCAGGCGCAAGGACTCAGACATATCTTCGTGGGGGTCACAATTCAACCCGTTATGATCACGACAGATTTTGGTACTTTTTCCACCTGTTTTATTTTAGTCTCGCTTTCCATGGTCTGAGCCATAATTCTTTTAACCCATTTCCTGCTGTTGATAAACCTTAGATTGTTGCCAACATTTTGTGTGCATCATCTTGTGCGAGAAAACAAAGATTTCTCCAAGGGGCGCTCCCATTGGTGGAAGAACGGGCTGGTTTTGAACTTGAGGAGGGAAGGACAAGATAGTTCCCATTAGATAGGCCCTCTAAATTCGCTTTTCACCCTTCCTCACTTGGATCCTAGGGCAGATACGGGGCCCCCTGGTCCCTTGGCTTGCAGCTGGGGGGGTCAGCCAACTGGGAGGGGATGAGTCACCTTCACACCCTGTCCTGAAAGCTGGTCACTCACCTGCCCCACGGCCACAGCTCCTAGAGATAGTAACATCTTCCCAATGTCACTGAAATCTTTTCCAACTTCCCTTGTCTTTATAACAGACTTTGTAATGGCAGAGTCTGCCTCCCACGGGGACCCTAACCAAAAAGCGTTCTTCCTCCTCCTGAACTGGTTAGATTTCAGGAGAATTTTTAAATATTCAACTTATTTTTTTTCTTATTCCAGGCAGGAAACACACGCAGTATAAACCAACAGACAATAAAGATCTCCTGCATTTCCAGCCTTGAGCAACATTTCCACTGTTGATCTTTAGGTATTTATCCTTCTTATCTTACTCGGGGCAGGGCTTTAGGGTCAGACGGAGCCAGGCCGGAATCCCAGCCTGACCACTCTCTGCTGTGTGAGCTTGGGCAAATTTCTCAACCTCTCTGAGCTTTCATTTTCCTCATCTCTAAATGGGGTAATCATAGTGTCTACTTCATCAGATATCTGGGAGGTACAAATGCCCAGAGGCTGATAAATATCGGATCTTATTCTGTATATAAATGTTATAGATTGTTTTTCAAATCCTTGTTCAGGCCTTCTATAGATAGCAGGATCTCAGCCCCTCCTTTGTGTGAACGAGATAAATTTTGGTCTTGTTCCATGGTCTTAGAACCTCACAAGGTTGCCCTCAGGCTGCCGTGGGGTTTTGAGATCTTATGTCTGTTTTTATAGTTTTTTGGTTAGTCCCTTCAAAAATTCAAGTGAGTGTTTTATTGAGCATTTACTAGGTGCCAGGCACCATGCTAAACCCTTGACAGACATGATTTTCTGTAAACCTCCGAAGAACCCATTTTACAGAAGGGGGAACCAAAGCCAGGCATGGTGGTGCGTGCCTGCAGTCCCAGCTACTTTCGGGAGACTCAGGCAGGAGGATCGCTTGAGCCCAGGAGTTCAGGGCTGTAGTGAGCTACCACTGCACCACTGCACTCCAGCTGGGCAACAGAATGAGACTCTGTCTCTAAAAAAATAAAAGTAAGGCCGGGCGCGGTGGCTCACGCCTGTAATCCTAGTACTCTGGGAGGCTGAGGCGGGTGGATCGTTTGAGCTCAGGAATTCGAGACCAGCCTGAGCAAGAGCGAGACCCTATCTCTACTAAAAATAGAAAGAAATTACTTGGACAGCTAAAAATATACAGAAAAAATTAGCCGGGCATGGTGGCGCATGCCTGTAGTCCCAGCTACTCGGGAGGCTGAGGCAGGAGGATCACTTGAGCCCAGGAGTTTGAGGATGCTGTGAGCGAGGCTGATGCCACGGCACTCACTCTAGTCTGGGCAACAGAGTGAGACTCTGTCTCAAAATAAATAAGTAAATAAATGTAAAAAAATAAAAGAAGGGGGAATCAAGGTACAATTAGGAAGTAGAGAAGGAGGCAGGATTTCATTCCATCCTTTGCCATGAGTGCTGGTATGTCCACCTTGCCTATTTCCTTGGCTGCACTTGACATCACAAAGCTTGTTACTACTGTGTCAAAACCACAAGTCCATGGGCTATAAATAAGGATCACGAGCATCAGTTCAACTTCACAAAAATACAATAACCATCCACCGCATGCCGGACCTTATGCTTCTCAAGGCAGAACAAATGGGTCCCCCACCTTCTTGGAGTTGACAAGACCTCTGGGCCACACAGCGCCTGCATGGGCTTTGTGATCTGTGTTCCGCTGCAGCCATGGACAGTTCTTCTTTGCATTGAGTTCTAGACGGTTAAACAATGACTGGGAGACAACAAGGTGGTGTTACTAGTGGCGCCAGGTCTAGGAAGGGGAGCGATTTTGGGGGTTGGAGGGGAACAAGGGAGACTGTAGTCCAAGGGGCTAAGGGCCCAAGCCCTGGCCCCCACATGTCTGCATTTGAACCCCAGATACTTGCGGTGTGACCTTGGACAAGCCCTCTCATCTCTCTGTGCCTCAGTTTCCCGGTCTGTAAAGCAGACCTAGTAACACTATTATAGCAACCTGCCTCCTCCAATGGTGGGGTGAAAACTCAGGGAGCTATGGAAGGCTTTAGACAGCGGCTGGTACACAGCAAGCACTCAATAAATGAGAGCGTCGGTTATGATGCAGTGATCCCTTGCGGCTCCCGGGGGAGCAGCTGGCAGGAGAGGCCAGATTCTGAGCGCACAGGGAGCCGGGCCGCCTGGCAGAAGCTTTGCAAGCAGAGCCTGGAGCGGCTGCCGCGGGTGGGGCTGCCCGGCCGGCCTGTGAATTACCTCTCAGGGTCACGGGGCTCCAAGAGCCCCTCCGAGGGGATCTTCGCTCAGCCCTCTGCATATTGATCTCAGCTAATCTCTCCGCAGGCGGGCGGGCCTCTAAATCCTCTTTTAACTCTGCTTTCCTGCCCTTTCTGGGCGCGGAGGCCCCGGGCAGGGTTTAGCTCGCGGCTTGCAAAGCCCGAGCGCGCGCGCGGGGAGACGCGTGGGCCCCAGGAAACGGAGGAGGGGTGGTGTGATGGGGAGAGCGGGGACACCCCGGGGGGCCAGAGGGCCAGGACCCTCGCCATCGGCGACCCCCCACCCCCACCCCTCCCGCCTCGGAATCCTCCTCTGTCGCTGCAATCCGGGCGAACGCCCCTCCGCGCCCTGCGCCCTGCGCCCTGCCTTGGCCTCCGCGGTCCCCACCGGGGGGCTCGCGAGGATTTGGGAGCTGGCGCGCGGCCCCGCTTCGCTCTCCGTTCTCCCTCCTCGCCTTAAAGAAGCCGAAACTGCTGGAAGCAGCCGCCGGGCCGGGCCTGGCTCGGCGCTGCCCGGGTAATTAGGCTGCGTCCTCCGAGGGCGCCCGGCTTTGGCGGGAGCTGCGCGCGCCCCCAGCCCCGGGCGATGCCGGCCGTCCAGGGGGCTGCCTGCGAGCCCGGGCCTCGGTTCCCACCTTTGAAGTGGGCTCGCGTTGGACGGTGGGGAAGCCGGGGCTTCTGCAGGGGGGCGGGGGGCGGGTCTGGGAGGAATCTGGGGGGGGAGGCAGGCGCGGAGGTGGGGGGCAGCGTCAAAGGGTCGGGCTGCAGACGGAGCAGCCTGGGTTCAAATCCGGCCTCCACCACCCTCCCCTGGGAGATGCTCAGCTGGTGACTTGACTTCTTGGAGTTGTTTGTCGTCACCTGTCACCTGCCAGCTGCCCCAGGTCAAGAGCCCAGTGAGTCTAAGGACCTGGTTCAGCCCACAGGCACAGGAAGGACAGTTGCGGGGGAGGGGCAGGCTGCTGGCTCCTACTTTCTGGAGCTCCCCAGGTGCAGGCGGAAGCTGGCCCAGTACCTGCTCCTGTCCGCCAGGTGTGGATGGCATGGTGTGGGTGCGACTCCCTGGGCTGAGACGGGGAGGGGGCCCACTGGCCCGGTGGCCAAGGGTCTGGGCGGACTCTAGTTCATATCTGACCGGGAATGCGTGATGGAATCCACCGTCTTCTCAGAGTTCAGGGTCAGGCACGAGCGACTCCGTGCCTGCCTCGACCTGAGTCTCAGTGGGTGTACATACCTGGTGCACACCTGGCACATACCTGGCCCGCACGTGGCGCACACCTGTCGCATATGTTCCAGGCTTCCAGCCACTGATCCATCTTGGTCCTGCTCAACCAGTGTCAAAGAGGCACCTGAGTGGGGTCACCCTTCCTGTTAAAACACAAAACTGGGGATGCAAAAACAGCACTCGCGCCAGGTGCTGCCCTAGATGAGTTTCCACTCACTGACTCACTTCATTGTCACAGCACCCTGTTAGCTGTCGGAGCATTCATTCCCTGCGCTCCCCTTTCTGGGCACAAGGTAGAACTAACTGTACTTACTTCCTGCCTGCTTTGTGTGAACGAGGTCATGTGACCAGCTGTAACCAATGAGCTGTGAGCGAAACTGACACGTCATTCCCAGGCTAGAGCATTTAACTGTGCGTGCCAGACCCTCCAAAGCTCTTATTTTCTTCCAGGCATGGCAGCAAGCGACGTTCCAGAATGTTCTGGAATGTGGCTGCTCCCGTCATAACTACGATGAGCCTCACAGAGCCTCCCTGGATGGGCCCAAAATGGACATGCAGCACCAGTGAGAAATAAACCTTGTGGTTTTCAGCCACTCGCTGAGCTGTCTATGCAGCATAACCTGGCCCAGCCTGATTATTAGAAGCTGCACTCCTATTTTACAGGGGAGGAAACTGAGGCACACACAGGTGAAGTCGCGTCCCCAGTCACCCAGCTAGTAAGTGACGTGAGTTAGTTAGACTCTGGGCTGTCTGATTCCAGTGTCTGGGCTCTTATTTCTAAACTGTTATCCTGGGGACGGGGATGGGAAGGGGGGTCCCTGAACATATGGTAATCTCATAAACCTTGGCAGATTCTAGGTGGGCTTGGTCTCTGCTGGCCTGCTGCCTCTGATTATTGGGCTTTTTGTTTCTTTCTGTCTTGAGCGCTGGCACTCTTGGATGGTCCCCCTCCATCGCCTCCCTTGGGGTAGATCTAGAAGGCAGGATAAAAGGACCAAGGAGATGTCTCTTTCCCCAACCGGCCATCTGGAAAGTTTAGCTTGTTCAGCTCAGTCTTGACCCTCTGATGCTGGAAGTCCTGGCAGATCCCCACCCTGTCCCCTGCTCCTCCAACACTCCCGATCACATGACCCCTAACACTTTCGTCCCATGGGCTGGAGATCACACGTTTGCTCCAAGGGAGAGAAATCTTGAGACCAGAGAGCTGAGCCACTGAGTTTCTGGGTCCCGAGGTGAGCCCCGAGCTGAGGTTTCGGAAACGGCTGCTCAGTTGTTCACCCCTCAGCCTGCTTCCTGTCACCTTCCAAGGTCTCTGAGTCCCCTCTGCACTCTCGGAGGCTTCCAGGGAAGACCAGCCAGACAGGGCTCAGGACGGACACCTCCAAGCAAACCTCAACCCCTCCTGCCCCGGCCAGTTAACGTGACACTTATTCTACATTAGATAGCAATTGGGCCAATTTTCTGCTGTAATTAAAACCTCCACAGACATGCTCCCTGCTCATCGGTGATGACTTTATTAACCCGCAGCTCGGAAGGCACGTGGGGGCAGGAAAGAGGGAAGGACGGAAGAGATTTTGCCATGGATTGGGAGGGCGGACCCCAGGAGGGGCTGGCTTTGGAGCTGGCCTTTCTCCTTTGGGGGCTCTGGGCAGGGGCGGACAGACGCGTGTGTTTGCTGCTTCTGTCGTGGGGACCTAGAAACATCTACTCCTACCACCCTGACCCGCTGTAGAACCAGGACTGCCATCCCATAATCGAGTGCAAATCCACTCTTTCCTTCCTTCCTTCCTTCCTTCTTTTTTTTTTGGATAGGGTCACTCTGTTGCCCTGGGTAGAGTGCAGTGGTGCCATCATAGCTCACTGTAGCCTCAAACTCCTGGGCTCACGTGATCCTCCTGCCTCAGCCTCTCGAGTTGCTGGAACTGCAGGCGTGCACACCTCGCCCAGCTGATTTTTTTATTTTTAGTAGAGACAGGGTCTTGCTCTTGCTCAAGCTGGTCTCGAACTCCTGAACTCAAGTGTTCCTTCTACCTTGGCCTTCTAGAATGCTAGGATTACAGGCATGAGCCACCACTCCTCGCCTCTTTGTTTTTTTACAAAAAAAAAAATTGTAATTTTAATTTTAGAGATTGGGATCTACTTATATTGCCCAAACTGGACTCCAATGATCCTCCTGCCTCAGCCTCCCGAGTAGCTGGGACTACAGGCATGTACCACCACGCCTGGCTAAATGCATCCTTTCTCTTAGCCTCAGTTTTCTCATCAGTAAAATGAGGCGAGTGGCCCCTACCTCTTGCACAGTCTTGCTTTGCACTTACAACTGGGCACCCGGGGCCGAGGGGCTTTGTAAGTGGAACAGCCCCCGAGGTGCCCTGGCTGGAGTCGTGGCATCCAAAGCCACTGGTGGCTCCAGTACCATTCTCAGTTCTGCCCAAATGTACCATGACCCTTTTCCTTCTCTCTTGCACAGTTTTCCTCCCCTCTCTTCCTGCTCCTTTCTTCTCACGCCTCTGTCTTCTGTTTCTCTCTCTGCTCCTCCCCTCTCCCCGCCACTCCACTCGCAAGCCCCAAACTCGGGGATGTGAGAAAGTTCCAGCAGAAATTGCAATCTCCTCTCCTCTCCTGTGGCTCCCAGATAAGACAGTAAAAATCCGATTTTCAGCAATTTGCTTCATTTGTGAGCTCTCCGGAGTCTCTCTTTCTCCCTCTGACATGAGCTTAGCAAAATTGCCGGGGCGGAGTGGATATTTTTAACCACTTAGTCGTCAGAGCAGGTTCATCAAAAAGTTTTGCAAGAAACTGGCGCGGGCCCTGCACGTGGGGCTGACGGCGGGGCCAGGGGCTGGCGGCAAGCTCCGGGGGGTTAGTGGAGCAGCTGCTAAGGAAAGGATGTGGCCGACTGAAGGCAATGGAGTGCCCTTAGGAGGAGGGAGAGAGGCCCCGAGCAGGAGGGAGGCTGTGGAGGAACCCCAGCCTTTCTTATCTCTGACGCCTGCCCTGACTGACTCCCAGCCCAAACCAGAGGCCAAGGGAGACCAGGGGTGCAGAACTAGAGCTTGGCTCCCAGGACACCGAGCAGCCCACCAGTTGACCATGGGGGTGGAGGGGACAGAGAATGACCCTCACTGATGCCACTTTTTGTGTGTGTGTGTGACACAGGGTTTGCTCTTTTGCCCAGGCTGGAGTGCAGTGGCTTCATCATAGCTCTCTGCAGCCTCGAACACCTGGGCTCAAGCGATCCTCCTGCTTCAGCCTCCAAGTACCTGGGACTGCAGGCGGGCACCACCACACCCTGCTAATTTATAGATTTTTTTTTTTTTGGTACAAACAGGGTCTCACTATGCTGCCCAGGCTGGTCTCGAACTCCTGGCCTCAAATGATCCTCCTGCCTCTGCCTCCCAAGCCTCTGGGATTACAGGCGTGAGCCACCACAGGGAGCCTGGATGCTGTGTGTTCTCTCTTCTTTACACACCCATCAGCGACAACCCTGATAAGCCAGTCCGGGGGCCCAAAGGCAACTCCTTCCCCGAACCAGAGAGGGGGTGCAGGAACGATGAACATTTATTTAGCACCTACTGCGTACGAGGCACAGGCTAGTTGCTTTGGGTGTCAATGCGACTTCACTGAATCCCCACAATGGTCCGTGAAGGAAGCCTCTTTCTTTTTTCTTTTTTGCTCACAGTGCCTCAAACAATAAAGAACTTTATTTCCTTCTCACTTAAAACAGTCTGAGTGTGGGTGTTCCAGGGCTGGGGTGGCGGGGGCCAGGCCCTTTCTTTCTCCGGCGCCACCACCACCTACAGGGTGGAGCACCTTCCACCCTCTGGCCAGTGGGGAGGACAAAAGTGAAGGCTCAGCCCTGAGTCTTCCTCGGAAGATTCCCACGGCACAGCTGCTCGCGCGCCATTGGCCAGATGTGGTCACATGACACCCAGCTTCCAGGAATGCTGGGAAATGTAGTCTTTCTCCTAGACATCTGCGCTCCCAGCTGAGATAACGGGGATGTTCTATTGATGTAAAAGACAAGGAACATGGCCGGGCGCGGTGGCTCACGCCTGTAATCCTGGCACTCTGGGAGGCCGAGGCGGGAGGATTGTTTGAGCTCAGGAGTTCGAGACCACGTGAGCAAGAGCAAGACCCCGTCTCTGCTAGAAATTAATCGGCCAACTAAAAATATATATAAAAAATTAGCCGGCATGGTGGCTGGCTCATGCATGTAGTCCCAGCCACTCGGGAGGCTGAGGCAGGAGGATCGCTTGAGCCCAGGAGTTGGGAGGTTGCTGTGA